ACCTGCTTGCAGGCACTTTAATCTGCTGAGCTATTTGGCCAGCTCTTCAACTTTAAATAGCCTGGGAATAGGGTTGCTCTTCCCCTAGAATGAATAGAGGTCATTCCAACAAAACTAAGTAAAAGATAATTTCAGGCTAAAAACTGGATGCTGTATACAAATAACAAATGAAATACCCTCCTGTGTATCAGGGAAAAGATTTTTTCCCCATTAAGAGGCTACAGGCAGCTGGGAAGCACTGGCAAATGAAGCGCACTCCAAGAAATTGCTTAGTCAGAAATGCTCCTCACTCATTTATCAAGGTTCTTTTTCCCAACTTCTCAATTTTGGGAGCCAGAATGGAGAAATTCCTTCCATCCTTCAGGCTGTAAAGCAACAGCACTAAGTCAAGAAAGCAGAACAAAATAGCACACCAAGGCTCTAAAAATAGTCCTTCTACTGAGGCTATAGACTACAGAAGGAGTTCCAGGCCTGCTTTATAAAATCAAATAAAGGTTTCAAATAGAATCTAAGAACTCTGAAGGACAATAAATTTGTGAGCAGAGCAATAAAATTAAACATGCCAAAAATACACCAAGAATATAAATAAACAGATTTTAAGGTATCTGTGGGACAAAAAATTCAACTTTTCTGTAATAAGGAAACCAGTAGCTAAAGAAGAAAATGGAGCTGAAAGTTTCTTTAAATAAAAACTGGTTGAAAAATGCTCAAATCTGCAGACACAGAAACTTATAGATTTAATAAGCTGTGCTAACTCAAAATAAGAAAAATCCAAAGACATTTATGATAAGTCTTGCTACCAAAACACATTTGAAAACTAAAGACAAAGAAATAATCATCAGAAAAGCCAGGGCAAATGTCACATGGCCTTTCACAGGAAAAACAATTCAAAGTTCTTCTGTTATTTTTCTAAAAAAACATGGAGGCCAGAATGAATTGGCACATTATTCAAATATCAAAATTAAACACTATTGAGTGCAAATACTCTATTTCATGAAACTATGTTTTAAGAGAAAAATAGAAATGAAACTATTCTTACTTGCAGTAGCAACTTCTAGATTGTTGACAATTTTATAGCAGAAAGAGTACCCTTTTGTTCCAGTTTTCATATACATAAAGAAAATTAGGCTTTTCAACATAAAAATCACAGTAAGATTTGTAAATGTGTTTCTAGACAGAAATTATACTTATGTGTGAAATTAACCATCGATTTCCTCCACCTCTGCAATGAGTTTTATGTGTATTTTGTTTTCATTGTTGTTATTATTATTGCTGTTACTCATCATAGCAAACAACTCAGAATTTCACATTCGGAGTATATTTTTGCAGTTGTGAATAAAGGGTGGATGAGCACATGCTATCAAATTTATATAAACCTGACTTTCATATACCTAAAGACACTCATGAAAGTGTTCCTCCAGAACTGCTTCAGAAATTTGCAAGAACAAGGGATAATTGTGTTCAAATATGGCTTAGAGTCTTCAGTAGAGGTCGAATGACGATGTGTCTTGTAGCATAGCACTTTTAAACAAATATTGTAATAATTCATTCAGTATTCTGTTCATACCATGTACCATCTACTAAACTAGGGCACGTGGCCAAGTTTCACATCGTTGGGGTCAGGGTACTCTGCCTCTCCCAAAGAGACATTGAAGTCATGGCAGTGGACAGAGATACAGAGTCTTTTTATTACAAGAAAAATTTGGAGCAGTGATAAATTTACCATATTGAAACACAGTATTAAAACAACTCAGTAAGTTTTCACAAAATTTACATTCCTAGAACTCAGTACATGGTCACAGATTGCCTAAAATTCTAATATTTATTAAAAGTAAATTAAGAGGTAATCACATATATTCTTCAAAGAGCAAAAATAAAATAAACTCTTTTTTAATTGGAAGTAATCCTTACATATTTGCTGTTAAATTGGGATACTTTGATCTTTAAAGTTTGGCAATAACTTCAACTATTCTCTCTCTCTCTCTCTCTCTCTCTCTCTCTCTCTCTCTCTCTCTCTCACTTTTGACCTAGGATCAAACTCGGGACCTTGCACTAGCCAGGCATATGCTGCCTTTGTATCACTTTATGATCACATTAAATGCTTTTGAAATGAGACATTTGTTACCAACTTTTACCACGTTTTAACACAACAAGTACTTAATGTTCTACTATTGATGATAACACTTTTTTGATTTAAATAATGTCTTTGTAATACAAATATATACACGGTCTGCCTAAAAAATTAGGAACTGTTAACTTTGAATTATAAATTGAATAGTGTTAAACTATTATAACTTCAGCATATTTTTAAAATTATTTATTTATCTGATAAAAGGTTTTGCTACGCAGTGAAGACTCATATTCTATTTTTTTCCATATAGACAACTTACCATTTCTGAGAATTTTAATTATGAAGCTTTGGTGGAAATACAATTATATTTCTACATAAATGTATAATTTTTCAAGTTTTGCAGAATATTTGTACTTATTCTTTTAGTCCACAAGGCAAATTTACTGGCGATTCTGTAATATGTTTATCCAGAAACACATAGAAGCAAAGAAGTAAGCAAGAGGTACAAATAATTTTGAAATTACAGTCAGTTAAAAATAAAACTACTCCATGCGCTGTCAGGAGATAATAAATCTGAAATGAACATTTCCTATGATGTTCAGAAATTCCTACAGGCTCGGAATATTCTTCATCACTGTCTATCTATCATAACACTGGCTTGAATCATTGGTATACATCTCAAATAGGAATAAAAACAGATTTCTGCCTCTGAAGTTAGATAATTTGCTATGTAAATACAAGGAAGGTGAAAAACAATATAGAACCCACAAAAACATCATGCAGTATAATCATATACCTGTGTAACTATATCACTAAAACACATACTCCTTTTGACAAAAGTATCAGAATGATTGATAAGCTTATAATTGGAAATGCACAAGACAAGCTTCCTTTATAGACCAACAGTAGGAGGTGTATGCTCATTATCTTAACATCTTAGTAAGCCACAGATTAATGTATTAAAATCAAATTATTGTGTATGAGCAAATGCTTTTGAAATGAGACATTTGTTACCAACTTTTACCAAGTTTTAACACAACAAGTACTTAAAGTTCTATTATTGATGATAACACTTTTTGACTTAAATAATGTCTTTGTAATACAAATATATACACGGTCTGCCTAAAAAATTAGGAAAAATAACAACTTATCATTGGTACAGAAATCCACATCCAAATAAAGCACATTATCAAAAGTATATAATAAGCTCTAGTCAAATGATTTATTTTGACATGACAATGCTAAAATGAAGTTTGCATTGTCATTATCCTTGTCAACTATGCATTTCTTTTACTATCTTAAATGCATTATGCTAATTTTTCTTCTATGTAATTACTGCATTTTTCAAATGCCAGAAATAAAAATGATTTCACTGATTTTGATACCAAATGTGGTTTTCTGAATCCTATATGGATATAAGTAAAATGTCTCCATTTTGTACAGAGAGGTATAGCAATTGTTTTTCCTACTGCTCTAATTTTACTTTGTTAATAATACATTGTAAGAAGCATGTCTTCAAATTTATTACAGTCAGAAATATAGATGTGTTATATATCCCTTTAATAGTAAAGGAGTTTCTCATTCCCACCTAAGGTAAATTCTTTTCTTAGAAACTACACATAATAAACTGAATTGTATTTAATTTCATAGAAATACCTCATCTATTTTTAAATTAATTAAATATATTGGTAATTAAATGTGGAAGTATTTATAATTATATTACATTATATATTGAATGTACTATATAGCCAGACCTATTAGTTCTTATTAGAGAACTGCTTTTGTATCACCTTATGATCACATTAATTCTTGTTAACTTTGAATTATAAACTTCATATTGAATTATAAATTGAACAGTGTCAAATTATTAAAATTTCAACATGTTTTTTAATTATTTATTCATTTATTTATTATTTGATAAAGGGTCTTGCTATGCAGCGAGACTCATAGTAATCCTCATATCTCAGCTAACCCAGCACTGGGATTTCAGGTATGGACCGTCATGCCTGGTTTTGGTGGCCAGCACAGCATGCTGGGGGTTGTGGGGCTGGCATGATATGTGGTACTGGGATCAATCTCAGGTCCTTGTGCTTGCCAAGCAGGCACTTAGACCCCCATGCTATCTCCCCACCCCTCAGCATGTTTTGTTGAGTCAGTGCTAGACTAATGTATCTGTTTGCATAATTTTCTATTCAATCTATGTATTTTATCTTTCATCTATTTGTTATTTTTAAAAAACTTCATACACATTCCATTTATTAAAAAAACATTTGGTCTGCAAACTTAGGTTGTTAACCATCCAGAAGACAAGCTTATTGTTATTATCAAACGATTTAGGCTATCAAGCTTAACCTCACTCTCTCACTGCATTTCAAACATCTTAGGCATAATAAGGAACAGGTATTTTTCATCAAGTATTGATATGTTGAACTTTAAGTCCCTACATAATATGATAAAACACATTTAAAAATTAGATTATATTTTAAAAATAGGATGAATTATATACTTCTCATGTTTGCACCTAAGTCCAAAAATCTCACCATATACAACCTTGAAGCAGGACAGTCCCACAGTATTCCTTTCCTGTCTGCCTTGTTCATTTGTCTACTCATTTTAGAGAAGCAATGAGTTATCCTATTGTAATTGCATTAGTGCTTATTTGATTTTTCATGCCCATTAATATTTGTTTTATATATTTTATATTTTATTTTTGCTATATCTGGAGATTTTATTTTTTATTATTATATTTTTCCATAATTTTATTGAGAAACAAATAGCAATGAGACAGTTTCAAATCAAATTAGTAGGACAGTTTCAATAATTAACACATTGCATACCCTCCTCCTAGTGGTTATTTGCTGTACAAGATGCAGACATGATATCTTATTTACAAACACTATTAGAACAAATCCCACTATTCATTAAGAGAAAAAATATATAATGCTTCATGAATTTGTGTGGTATTCTTGAGCAGGGAGCATGCTAATCTTCTCTGTATTGTTCCAATTTTAGTATATGTGCTGCCGAAGTGAGAACTGTTTTATATATTTTAGTGTAATCATTTTGGGTGCATATAAATCTATGAATGCTATCTCTGCCTTAGAGAATGTTCCCTTAATAAGCGTTTAGTCATCTTCTTTTCTTCTTTTGATCAATCTTTGTTTGAATATTACTTTGTCTGCAAACCAAGTGACTATACCTCCTGTCATTTGTCATATTGTTCTCCATCTTTTGACTTTCAGTCTGTGAATTTTTTAGAAGTAAATGTGTTTCTCTATGTAGCATATGGTGGAATCTTGTTTTTTGATCCATTCTACTACTCTGTTTGTTTTGATTGATGGATTGGAGACCATTTATATTGTTAGTTATAATTGGTGTTGGCTTATCCATATCATATAATTTTCCTGTTGTTGTTCCCCTATATTTCCAATCCATTTAATTTCTTACTTTGGGGCTGGTGAGATGGCTCAGTGGTCTAAAGCACCTACTTAGAACAAGCTTGGCAGAGCACAGGGACCGCGGTTCAATTCCCCAGCACCACATGCCAGCCAGCCCCGCCCCCTGGTGGGCTGAGCTGGCCACACACACACACACACACACACACACACACACAAATAAATAAATTAATTAATTAATTAATTAATTAAAAAAAAATTTCTTACTTTGTCTGATGGCTTCTTTCTATCTCAGTTACTCTTCTCTCATTGCTGTGATAAATACTGGACACCCAAAATGAAGTAAGGAAAGGTTGATTTAGCTCACAGTTAATAGAAGTTTCAGTCCATACTTGCCTGCCTCCAAGGCAGAGTGGCACATGGAAGAAAGCAACAGATCATTGTGGTGCAAAACATAATATCAAATGGGAAGTGCAGCAACAACAGTGGCTGCAGAGAAAAAGTCTTTGTCTCTTATCTCGCATGCAGGCTATCTGCCCCAGGCTGGCTGTAGGACTCACAGGAATATTCCCAGCAGCACTCACACCCATAATCCCAGTGGATCATGAGTTAATCACAAATTCTAAAAGTTCCTCCCATGCCTGCATGAGGCTTTAGGGGGGACAACTAGACTCAAACTATAACAGTGTTTGGTAATGGAATTGTGATCTTCATTATTTCTAAAATATATCTCAGAATGTTTTTCACAGGTGATTTGGTGGTCTTGCATTTCTTCAGTTCTTTGTCATGGAAATATCTTATTTTTCCACTGATATTTTTAAATTATTTATTTGATACAAGGTCTTGCCACACAACTCAGACTCATAATGATCCTCCTGTCTCAGCCTCCTCAGCACTGAGAATACATGTGTGTGCCATCACTTCCATTTTATGGGTTGGCACAGCATTCCAGTGCCAACATGGCATGCAGTACGGGGATTATACTTGTAATCCCAGTGTTTGGGAGGATGAAAACAGGAGGATCACTATGAGTCTGATTGTGTGGTGAGACCCTATAAACCCTGTGCGAAATACACTTTTAAAAGGAAAAGAAATCATGAGGGAAAGACGTAAGAAGAAATCAACAGAATATTGACGCAATCCATTGAAGCAAACTGTGAATCATATGTTCACCCATATAAATATATCAAAAATTCAAGAAGCTTAGTTGAAGAGAGAATAAAGACGAATGAACTCTGAGAATGAATAAAAATCAAAACATAAATAAAAGTAAAATCTAAACAGCCAAAAATAAGTTTTGTAGTGGCCTACAAATCAGAGTCCAAAAGTGTGGTAGGTAAACCCACCAATTCTGCAGCAGCATTAGTACTGGATGAGGGGCTGATCTCACTTCAGCTAGTGTCCGAGTCTTTACCAAGCAAATTTCTGTATATCCCTCTGCAACCTCCCAAATCTTCGCACCCTGTTTGTTTCTGTACTTCCCTCCTACTTTCTGTGGCTCCTTCAGTCGCAAATGAAGCTGCTCCTGTTCCCTTGTACTGCTGGCACCTGCTGGCCCTTGTATAGACTCCTTCGTTCCACCCCACTGTCTGCCTCCTCAGGCTGTGTCTGTCTTCTTCCTTCATGAGCAGGGCAGGGGGAACACTGGTTTCCTATCTGTTGCCCGGCTGCAGCGCAGGGCTGCTTACATCCACCTCCTGCTCCTGTGTCACACCGTGCCATGCTGCTGGGAGCCTTGCATCAGGGGTGATGCTGTTCCATTCAATACTTTTACCGCGACCACTGTAGACCTTAATCTTGTCCCTAGAGATTCCAATTAGCCACTATGGTGCAGAAACAGAGAGAGAGAGAGAGAGAGAGAGAGAGAGAGAGAGAGAGAGAGAGAGAGAGA